AAAAATATCATTCTACATATACTCAAAATCTTGAAAATCTCTAAAAAAGTAAGAAAAATTTTATAGTGCCCTAGCGTGTTTTTGAAACTTTATTCACCTTTTGCGGAATTTTTAGGGTAATTTTTTCACTTTTCCCTACGAGACAAGGGTTACACATGAATTCGTAGTGGTTTGTCACCTGCGTCACGGGCCCCAGGGACCCAGTATCCCCCCCCCCCTTGTGGCGGGCCTGGCCCTGATACCCGCTTTCTATCGACGTAGCTTTTAAACTTCCAAGCTGACATCCTCTGACTTCATTTGGCCGTACATAAAAGGTTTAAATAGGAAGATTGAGCTCTGTTGGGGCGATCTGGCGAACATATGCACCTCAGCAGGGGGCTCGTCCCAAACAATCAGATCCTCGAATTTATGATAGCCGAATTTTCGAAACATCCGACCATGAATACCTATGCGCCAAACCTGCATGGAAAGTGAAAATACGCGCAAATAGGAAGAAACGAGTCGGAGAGCGTGGATGTCGGATCAACTGGCGCATACTAGATCGAGTCAATGGGAGAGGTCGGACAAAATTTGGAAACTTTAAAAACTTAAAACTCCGTTAAAACGAACTTTGAGGTCTTAAAAGTGGGTTTCATTGGTTCTCTCGTGAAATTCTCCTCCAGAACCACCCCTTAAAATTTAAAATGTGAGGAATTAAACATTACAATTTGCAGTTTTAGTTAAAAATTTTACGTCCGACCTCTCTGCTGGACTTTATCCATACTGTGTGGCGCGGTGCAAACTTCTGCTGCGCTGTGGAAGAACACCGTATGTGCATCGGAACATTGATAAATTTCATTTCTTACAAAATAGATTTTTAAGACTGACAGGTCTGCACTCTGACCGATTCCTGGGCCAATGCCCTCCTATAGGCGGATTCNGGGGGGGGGGGGGGGGGGGGGGGGGGGGTGTTACGTCCGCAAAAACTGTCTTGTCCTCCAAGCCCATTAATCGATGGATATTCATCCTTTAAATTTTCAAAAGCTCTCGCTGAAATGGTGGAGGAAAGCCTCTGATAAATAGCTGAGTTTTCCGGAAAATCCGTATTTTCCGGACAAAATTTGGCAGCGTCAGAATGTGCTTACCTATATGACTGTTTTCCTGCATAAGGCAGAATTAAATCCAGCGGTTCTGTGGTCGACTTGACATCGGATCCAACAGACTCCATGCTGGCTGGATATTCTTCTGCTGTCGATCAGCGGTAGTCTATTGTTCTGCCTCATCAGACGACGCGACGGCAACGCGCCGCACAGCGGGCTGATTGTTAAAATCAGTAGACAAAGCTATAGACACAGATGACAAAACAGATATGGAGGGATCCTATTGATGGAAGCAGTGGTTGAAATTGACAAAGGGTAGGTCATAGACTAACTAACGGCAACCCACGTGAGACCCTTTAGTTGGTCCATCATTTTCTCCCTTGGTCTGCTGCAACCACCCATTTCAACCAATAGGATCGCTCCATACTCCCTATGTCATATTTGTCTATAGCTTTGTCTGTAAAACCAACAATTAGCCTGCAGTGCGGAATCACATGGACGAAAATAGAAAATTGCCTTCCAAATTCTCCAAATATTTTCATGACACTTGTAATCAGGACAATTTTTCTGACACGAGGGTATCTTTTTTATTTACTGCCAAAAAGTCGTTTAAATATAGGTTTGAGGTGGAGGTTAATTCAATCGAAAAAGAACCGTCCAGTAAGAAATACACAATATTTAAGTTTTCAACTAATGCTGGAAAAGTCAAAACTCATTGAACAAAGGTCCAGTGGCACTCAATGGAATACCTCATGCTTTTGTAGTCCGTAAGTTTATTTTTACGGTGCTTTTGATTTTTGTCCACACCGCTTATGGAAGTTCCGCACTGTGCACTGTGCAGACCGGTGCGTCGCGCTACGACGCGACGCTCTGCACGTTTTTGCGTCGCGCCGTCAAAATAATAGAATCTGTGAATGCACAAACCCCACTTATCGATTTTTTGATGAACCCTGAAGTCCGTAAGAATGCTTATATCCTCGGGTCCATCCGATGACGAGGTCGTCAGATTTTAACGTTGACAGATTAAAAATTTGGACGGGCCAAGAAGGAACTGGAAGAATCCTCCATCGTTAAGTGACCTGAATACGAGATCAAGGCCGGAATAGCTCTTAGGTCTCCGCTGGGGAAGGTGAATCAAAACCAGAAGTAAAAAAATCGAAGTATTTCGCAAATTTTGCTGAAATGCTGATTGTTCTTCTAATTTTTAGCTAAGATGAGACTATCACACATGGAGCACATTATTTGGTTGTAATTGAAATGAAAGGCAGGAGAGCCGGAGGCTTACTTGTATTACAATTTACAACTTTACGATTTTTATCTAAAATAATTGAGGAGCTTAGAAAACAAAGCGCGTAAGTGCAGTTTTTGAAAGTAATTGCGATAATAACGATCACGACAAAAACGAGTCTTAAAATATTTTTAAAAATATGCCACTAAATCAAATTTTTACGCATCAAAAAGCGAGTTTGAAATTTCTTTTCGCCTCAAGGATCTACTTGATTTTGATACTTTGAACACGTATCACATAATTCAAACAGCAAAAACCGCGCTCATGCGCCTTGTTCTCTAAGCTCCTCATTTTATGTTTTTCCTCATGACTGGGTGTTGTTACTGTTGATTTTAACGACAAAATTACAGGGAATTTTTGTCCTATTCCAAAGAAAATGTGCACAAAATGTCAAAATATTTGCAACAGTGTTTTTGCAACAATTTTGCAGAAAAGTTACTAATGAAAATGACCTCAAAATTTCACGTATATGATAATTCATTGGTTCATGGGGGAACACTGATTCGCTCCTGAAAATGATTTTAGCCTCCTTCTCCACTAGGAATCATTGTTTCCTGGGAGAGCATGGGGAATTGTTTGGTACGTTTACCACGAACTCCGAACTAATCGTATCCCAAAAATTTCATAGACCCACTTTGTCTGAACTTTTTATTGATAAACCAAGAGAATGAGCAGAACTAAGAACTTTTTGTGGGGATGCCAAATGAGCATATCTCATCAAGGAGGGTTTAGGGGGCGCTAATAACTGGGAGGGGCTCTACTACTTCCCAAGGAAAGTATGGGGGAGTTCCCTAGCTTCCAAGAGGATCCCAGACAGTCTCTCTCGGAAAATTTTGAAAAATTGAGTCGTCTGAGGAGCAATTTTGAGCTGTCCTTATCAACAAAGAGATCGAATTAAAATTGCGGAAGATGAGAAATACGTCTCACACTTATTTAGCAAAATTAGTCGTACTTCTCAGGAAGTACCAAGTAGGTTTTGGGGGAGGGGAGGGCAGCCCCCTACGTAACAGACTCGCCTTTTGTCAAAAGGCCTTATCGTTTTACGAGCCCCGAAGTACACTCGCCGATGCTGATAGTAAAAACAGGATTGTCTGTTGAGAGGGGAAAAAATCCCCCCCCCCTTGGCTTACACTTAAAGCCCTTTCCATTAAGAAAATTTCAGGGTAGTTTTCGGTATTTTTCTCAGTGTGCTCCCTTTTCTTAAGGCAAACGTTGCCTCTTCTCCACAACGATTGTAATAGGATTCGTTTGATAAAAAGCTCACTGAAATAAAAGTTCCAGGTCATACATATGGGCTGTTTATACGTACCAACGTACTGTCCGTTCCGGGCTCTGGGGCTGTACTGCCGTGCAAAGTATAAACGCCGTATGAGCCTTCAGGGGCTGCCAAATTTCCTATGATAAAAAGTGAATTTCCTAGTAAATTTATGAATATTTTCCTCCAAAATTTTCGGATAGTTTAGTTCGTAATTTTACCTAGAGATTCTGAAAATTTAAAGGAAAAATGTTCATAACTTTCCTGAAAATAAGCATATTATCGAGGGAAATTCGGCAACTCTCAAATGTTCTTACGGCATTCTTCCTTAGCATGGCAGTATAGTTCTGGATGCTAGAGCTGTGGCTCCAACTGCTCCAGATTCTACACCCGGAACATTCGGCCGCTGAGGCCGGAACGCGGACGGTATGTCTATATAGCCCGTAATTACGCCTCCTATGACTGGAGTTTTGTTTTTCTGTGCTCCTGAATAAAAAAAAAATGTATAAAAAACAAAAATGTAGATATATTTACCTTGAGGAGCAGGCTCGCATGTTTCCACTGTCTGTACCTCCATGGCCTCCCCTAGAAATCCCCCTCAAATCCACTGAAAACACATCCACTGCACGTTGTAAAGCTCAAAAGTCTCGAAATCCGTGCCTAAGTAAGCGAAAAAGGAAAACTCGGAAAAGCGCCTTGTATTTGGGCGCACATTTTCAGAGCGCCTTAAGTCGGAAGAAATGCCTGCGCGTACTTGTCCGGTCGGGTGCCCGCTAATTCCCTCGAGACAGGATAGCCGATCGTTTCTCGACTTAAACTAGCGGTGCGAAACTGCGGACCAAGTCATCGAGCGAGCGGCCACGCTTTAATGACTCGGAAAAGTCGCCATCCGCGATCGCGGGAGAAACTGCCTCCGCAAACGACAGACAGCACGCCCCACCTCAGCACTCAGCGGGACTCTACGGAGAAAAATACAGTATTGCCGTGCTAAGGAGGACCGCCATATGGACGTATTTCTGTCTAAAGGAACTATGTGCATTCAGACATGAACCCTGAAAACCATAAGAATAGATGCATAACAGGGCTCACATCATAATGCACATAGTTCCGTTTGGCAGAAATACGTCCATATGAACTATTAGACGTTGCCATTTATCCTCCAGTAATCCTACTCGTGTTGGACACATTTTTTGCGAAAGCCCTGTCAACACTACTGGCAAAAATTCACGGAACTTTTTGCGAAAGTTAAGTTTCGTAAACCTATCTCTGTGTGGACAAGGCCTTCCATTCATAAAAAATGAGCGAAAAAATTATGAAAGAACAAACATAAATGTGGATTAATGATTTTAACTTCCACTGCCGCGCCGCGCTGACTGCACCGTGTTTGGCGCAATGCGTGAAGTATTCCGACAGTCTTGTAGGCGCTGTGAGTTTCACGCCGACCGCTGCTGAACGCACTGTCTTTGACGCAATGCGTGAAGTATTCACGCAGTCTTGTAGGCGCTATCCGTTTTACGCTGACCGCAGTGACCGCATTCTGTTTGATGCAATGCGTGAAGTATTCGTGCAGTCTTGTAGGCGCTAATATGTGTTACATGCCGATCGCCGCGCCGAGGGCTTCTCCTTTTCATCTCAAGTCATCGTCATCATTTCTCTGTATGTCGCGCCGTTCCAAGCCAAATTGCGTGTTTTAACTATTTGGTTTCTCTCTTAACTTGAATAATTAAAGGTGCTGTCTCTTTTATCTCTGAAAGACGACAAAATTAGAAATTGTTATACTCTCAGGAAATGAGAGATTTTGTCGCCTTCTCTCGTTTGTAATTTTTTTTTCTAAATCCGATTTTTTTATACCTACATTTAAAAAAAATTGCAAAATTTGCCGCCCCCTACAGATTTGCCGCCATGGGCCGCGGCCCATGTGGCCAACCCCTTAATCCGGCCCTGGATTAACGTTATTTGAACACAGATTTCTTAACAGAGCCATGACCAAGGCTACAAAGAGGAAACATGAACGAATGAGTAACGTCGCCTGGAATGATTTTCCAACCCTGAGTTTGGACATTTTGCGAAAAATCATTTATTTTCTAACAAAAACCGAAATAAAGTCTTAATTCTATGCTTTGAAGGGGATACGATTCCATGTTGGGGAAATGTGCTAATTTTCCATCCCATTTCGCAATTTTAGACCAAGCTCTAATAGGGATTAACTGGAAGAATAAATAAAGTACTCATTTTGACATCAAATTATTGTTTTAACGTGAACATGTCTGGCAATTTACATTTATTTACAAGTATTTTTGAACTAGATATACAAGAAGAAAAATCAAGTTAACAACTCCTCGTTACGAACACAGCTAGACGACGCTTTTTTTTAGAAAACGTACAGTTTCGCATGTATTGCTACTTCAGTAAAACTATGCAATGAAGGGAAAAAATGAGAGAGAATACATGAAACTTGTGTGTAAAGCAATACATACCTACAATAAATTACAACACTGTACAAATTTATTTCTATTTTATCTCTAAGATATCTATAAATGTACACCAGCCACTTACGAAGTACAGAAAGAATTTTAAAGTTGTAATTTAAATGATTTTTCATTGGCGTTGATTCAACACCTAAAAAACTACTAACTTGCATACATAAAGATTCCATCACCTTTTGGATCAGTCACATTGATGATGTTGCAGGTCAAAATATTGATGCTAAGTATCAGTTTTTTCTCAACTGTGAATGGACATAGCTCTTGCGTAAAAATTACATGTTTGCAAGGGATCTGATTTTGAACCATACCTAAATAGTCAGATTTGACCAGAATCAGCCTATATGCATTCTAAGTTGCCATTTCTTCGCTCACGTTTTATTTTTTCGACAGAAAACGAAGCAACATACCGCCTTGAAAGAATCTGTGAATTTTTCCTTCGTTTGGGAAAAAACCCACAATATTTAAAGTGAAAATTTTGTAGGTTTCCTGTTAAAATTAGTGAAAATTCGGCAACTTTATTAGTTTAGTCAGGTCGCTTCCAGATAAAGCCATTCAATTCAAAAGTCTCTTCTTGGTAGCTATCACTTCATGCTAATTTTACTCATCTTCTTTCTGACTCAAAGGTCACCGAGTCGAATCGAAATATTGTTTTTTCAGCAAAAAATTACGTTCCAATACAACTGACGCAGGCAATCAGCGATTTCCGGCAACTTGCAAGTCGTTTATGATGAGTAGAAAACTATTAACTTCAGAGGTAAAAGAACGTGAAAAAAAATGAGGACTGCTTTTCAATCAGCCAAAGAAGACGCCTTCATCTCTTTGATGAATGTGTGGTAGCAGTTAGCACACTCGCGTATGCGTGTGGTGAAATGTTAATCCTCCATTGGATATAGGTCGCGTAGGCAACTGAACTAACTGCACGGTGAAGCGTGGTGTATCGCGAAAAACGGAAGGCGCGCTCCGAGCCTATAGAGAGCTTAGAAAGTCCCTTGCCAGTAAAACGTGCTATAAAATTATTACAGTCCATAGCGTTTGGTCTTAAGAGTCTGATGATTTTTTAATCATAATCAGCCGCTTCGTTTAGAATTTCTACCCGGATATAGCGAATCTGTGCGATTCTACGCTGCCTCTTTTTCTCGTCCCATCTGCATAGCCTCGGAGTGTTTCTTCGCCTTCAACCTTAGATCAGCGATGCTGGAGTTCTTGGAGAGGAGTCTGTCCTGGTGCAGAGCAGCTAGAGCGGCCAGGCTGAAGCCGGGGTACTGGGAGTGACAGAAAAGCGAGCTCGCTGTGCTTCCCAACATTGCCGCATACTGTACAGAATCAGAATCACACCTTTAGTTAGACGTATCTACGCTAAAAGGAATGGAGATGTTGCATGTGTGAGGAATTTGCGATTTGACTGTTGATTCTTGCGTAAAAGTTCGTGAGAAACACGATGGTTCCACTGCTTTTCTCTGAAATCAATCCCCAAGCTCAAAAAAACCTCTCAAGTTGAGGCCAAAATGGAGGGGATATCCCACGCTATCCTGAGAGTCCACGTCTACATCAAGACAAACTCTCCATGAAAAGATAGAGGGTAAATACATTGGCAGTGATGCCGTGTTTTCAGTTTTGGAGTCCCCAAATAAAGTGGCAGCCCTGTCAATGTATTTGTTCCCTATCTTTGCATGGAGAGTTTGTTTTGATGTAGAGGTGGGCTCTCGGGGTAGGGTGGGATATCCCCTCCATTTTGGCCTCAACTTGAGAGCTTTTTTTGAGCTTGGGAGTTGATTTCAGAGAAAACCAGTGGCACCATCGTGTTTCTCGCGAACTTTTACATAAGAATCAATGGTCAAATCGCAAATCCCCTACACATGCAACATCTCCATTAGCGACGTGCAAAAACCACCGCACATGTCAAAACCACCGAGCTCTAATAAATTCTGTGACCGTTTAGGTATCTCCTCCTGAAAATGAGCTCCAGTTTGCCTCTTTCAGTTCCCGCCATTACACCATTAATCAATTCTGGTATTTCTCCAAAAACGCATAAGAAAATCGTTTTGTGTGCCCAAAGTCACCGTATCAGCAATCTTACACTTCAAGTCCAAGCCAGATAAGTTTACCCACCTTCAGACTGCGAAAGAAAATCCGCTATTTGGATTCTTCCATTTACTTTACATGTAAAAGTTACGTTAGACGATCCTCTGTCGTAGTCTAAAAGTGCGTAAACTTATTTGGCGTGAACTCTGCTCGTTTTCAATATGCTCAAGAGCCTGAGCACTCAACTACCGTAAACGCTTCTATATAACTAAAAACTAAATTTTAGTCGAATACTTGATCTGACCATCACTGGAAAAAAAACACATTGGATCTAGAGTCCAGACTCTTGAAAACATCGACAAGAAAAAGGACTTTGATTGAATCAGATTTAAGCTTAAATCAAAAGGAAATCCGCTCAAATTAAGAGGCTTATGGTTCTTGATTTAAGCTTAAATCTGATCGAATCAAGAGTATTTTTCCTTGTCGATGTCTCTAAGGGTCTGGACTCTAGATCCAATGTGTTTTTTTCCAGTGATCTACGAGGAAAAAGACCTTGGTCGATGGTAGACACATTTTAAACTAAGCAATTTTCATCAATTTGGCTCAAAAAATTGGATTTTGAGCGGAAAACCTCTCTCCTGTGTCCTAAAGAGTAAGTTAGGTATAAATTTGGTTAATTTTTGTGGAAAAATTTCCAAAGAAAATTTCTCATACTCATGTTTCAATCACTTTATTTTGGGTTTTTTCGGACTAACATCCCATCTCTTGCTGATGGTCACATTTATAATACAAATAAAAAAAAACCAAATCATCCCCAAATTTTTTTGAGGAAGTAATAACAGCCACCAGAAACTATGCACTAAGACGACCTTACTGCATTTGGACCGCGTTAAGCAGGAAGGAACCAACCCACATCCGCAATAGCCAAATTTAACTATTAAATGTTTTACATGAAAACGGTTGTATGGATTTTTGTATAAATTTCAGTAAGGTTTTTGCATAGTGCGAAGCAAATTCCTCATAATTTTCCAAGGAATCTGCCCAAATACTCTCTTGTAAAAAATCGAATTGCCAAGTTACACTGGAAAAAAAACACATTGTATCTAGAGTCCAGACTCTTAAAAACATGGACAAGAAAAAATACTCTTGATTCAATCAGATCTAAGCTTAAATCAAGAACCAAGCCTCTTAATTTGAGCGAACTTCCTTTTAATTTAAGCTTAAATCTGATTGAATCAAGAGTCCTTTTTCTTGTCAATGTTTTCAAGAGTCTGTACTCTAGATCCAATGTGTTTTTTTTTTTTCCAGTGTACCTTTTGACAATAGCTGATGTGGCTTGGTTCCTCTCTGCTGGACGCTGTCCATTTTCCACGACTCTCATAACCTATCATTCTTAAATTCGAGGATCTTACCTGATGTGCCGCGTTTACGATGGCGGGATCAAAGGCGGAGAAGGCAGCAGCAGCGGAGGCAGCTAACGGGAGGGAGGGTAGTCGCGGTACATTGACGTAGGGCGCCACTCGGCAGGGCTCCAGGGGTGTCGCCACCGGGGTCGAACTGTGGATTTGACTGCTCAGCATCATGCCCGCCGCTAAAACAAGCACAAAATTTCAGTTAGATCTCTAAACTTTCGGAGGAATGTCCAATAGACAGAGTAAGAATTGAGGTGAACCTATAGCAGGAGTGAACAAACATCGAGATATCTGAAAAATATTGCTGAACTAGCGAAATGCCCGTGACTGGAGTCACGGGTCTAGAGGCCGCTAAAATATATATCCATAACCCCGAAAAAATGGTGGTAGGGGAGCAAGACATGCCATAAAAAAAAATGATAAAATCGATAGCAAAAGGAGTTGAGGGGAGAGGGTGATGGAGCTAGAAAAATGAGCTGGGAGGCGGAGGTAGAATAAATGCTGGCAAAAGAATTATAACTAACCCAGCAATAATTCATTAAAAAAAGAATAAAAAATGAAAAAAAAGAAAAAAAGAAATTGAAATAAAACATGAACTGATAGCAAACGAAGGTTACCAAGGAAACCAAGGAATGGAACTTTCATAAAAACAGATTAGTGGAAAACAGCGTAAGTAGGGCACTTACGTTAATTACCGTATATCCGTAACAAAGTTCTTAAAATGCATCCGAAAAGAGTTAAATTTTTCAAAAAGTCCCGAGGGAGGCACATCAGGCCCCTCAACGCCCCCGAGCAAAATTACCTACCAACGAATAAGAGGGTTCTGAAGATTTTCTTAAATTTTACCAATTGTTTTTAAATTTTATGAGCTAATAATTAAACACCTGTGTTTCTTGTTTTTTAAAAAAAATATTGTTTTAAAACAATTTATGATTAACTATCGATCTGCACTCATGCCGCCACTATAAGGTCAGTGACCGTTTTCTAACGATGAGACTCATGGTCGAGTCATTAAAAATTCCCTCGAGAAACATCGCAGCTCGAACATTAACATGCAAAACTGCAAATCAATCTCTTTGCGATCATTTCGCCATTCATTTTACTGGGATGCAAATTGTAGCCACACCACCTGCTCGGCGCGGCGCGTCATATCGAATGGACATATCATCTTCATTTCGCAACTTTGACTACTTTGAGCTTCGCTACGGCATCGTCTCTCATTGATATACTGGTCATCTTTGCGCCTAAAAATTGCAGAGTCATTGAACCATGATAGTAAGTCAGTGAATGGAGATTTAAGGACAGAAGACGGGGTATTCGAGAAAAGTGCTCTTAATGTATGCTGGCACTGTCGCGGGTCATAGGAAAAATTCATGCCAAACATCTACAACATCATTGAAACTTTCAGCTATGGCTTAATATCTTGACCCGAGCGTTTGAAAACATTGGGAAGCGTGTACTATGCATCGAAAACTGAAAATGCAAATCTCCTCGCCCAAATTTGAGTTTTCACTAGGGGGTATTTCTGCTTAACTCCATCAAAAATTAAATAAAATTAGACTTTATTTAAAAATAGCTAAAATTGAGCTAGCGTCTGGTAAAAGGGCGTAAGCAAGTTTACAGAACAAAAAGTTTCTTAGGAGAGGTAAAAGCTTATTTTCTCGTCAAGTAAGATGACTGAAAAATGTTTAAGAGTAATCAAAATATGGGTCTATGCCTGTTAGAAAGCTTTGAAATAATGATTTCTGGTGGGCAAAGTTTAACACATTTTTAGATTGGTTTGAAATTTTTGGATTTACGCCATTTTTCAAGAAAAATGAATAAAAACTGAGACATTTTCTGATGAAAAAATTGGAGGTTTACAGTGAATTTTGATAGTTTTATCACTCATTTGAGTTAATTAAGTTGAGCATAGAGGTTTAAACTTTCAATTCAGACAAAAGTTCAAAAGCATTGCTCTTTTTCCTTAAAAATGTTTCAAGAAAATGAATAAAAACAGACATTTTTTATTAAGAAATAGATGGTTTAAGGTGAATTTTGAAAGTTTTATCACTTATTTTTGTTATTAAGGCTAAGCATAGATGTATACATTTTCAATGCAGACAAAACTTTAAAAACATTGATCTTTTTATTAAAAATAAAAATTCAAAATTAAAAATTAAAAATTAAAAAAAAAACTTTAGAAGGCTTGAAATACAAAACCAATCCATACAAAACAATATTCGACTTACGCCTTTCTATTAGAAATTGATCGAATTTTTCTGTGATTGATCCCCCCTCATTCCTTCCAAGGGTGCCAGAAAGGTCATTGGCAGTCCAAATGAGCATTTAGAAGGAAAATCAGAGCGGATGAAAGCGGGACAAGAGGCGCGGGAAATCCAACTACGAGAGCCCGGGCCGCGCATCGTGTCGCGAATCGGAGCTGATAAAACTGGCGCGAATTCAATTTGTCGCGGAGGTCAGAGACATAAGTTGTTCAAACATTCGTTAGACGCGGGACGCAGCGCCGGAGCTGCGCCGAAGGGACGGAACGGAGGGCGTCGCGCCGCCTTCGCGGGGGAGGGGGAGGGGGCGCGGCGAGGGTCGGAGCGGGTGCTAAATCCGAATCCCTTGCGGCCCATTCACGGTGATTACTCGCGTCTTAATCGAATTAAAATACTTGTCCCCCCAATTGAAACTAAAACAGTTTATTCCCGACATGAATAATATTTGATTACGATCTGATTTATTCTGTTTACTTATTAATGTTACACTGATTCCCGGGGCCCGGGTCCTCGATGCTTCTTTTGCAGATTTCACGCTTCAATCGGCCCCCGATCCGTCACTGTCTGTCCCTGTCCCTGTCTCTTTCGGCCCTTCGCGCGCTCTTGCCGGATTCACTCTTTAAACGCGACTTTAACCGCATCCAAAAGGAGCACAGATTGCGATAAATTGCAGCGATTACCTGATGAAATTATAGCTACTGCATCGAAGTGTCGTGTATGTTGCCTATCCTTTAATTGAAGGGGTTTAGTTTTCTAAATAATTTATTGCAATAAAATCCAAAAGGGGCACAGGTTGCGAAATAGCATACGAGACATGATCAAATAATAGCTACTGCATTGGAATGTCGTGTATGTTGCCTGTCCACTAACCGAAGGGGTTTCTGTTTTTTTAAATGTCTTGCAATAAAATTTAAGTAGGTTGCAGCTTTTCTTTGTATTCAGAACTGCCTATTTTCAGTCTGATCGACTAATCGTCGCAAATCGACATTAACTGACTTCAACCGCGTCCAATAGGTGCACAGCTTGCGAGAAATTGCGATTATATGAGCAAATCATAGCTACTGCATCGGAGTGTCGTGTATGTTGCCTATCCACTAACTGAAGGGAATTCCGTTTTTTTTTAAACTTATTGCAATATTTAAGTAGGTTGCAGTTTTTGTTTGTATTGAAAACTGCCTATTCTCCATCTGCTCAACTAATCGTCGAAAATTGACATCTAATGACCAAATAAGCGCGTTATGCTAGTGGGAACTCTGTAATAATGAATTAAATTAAAAGGAACTATTTTACTTAGAACTTTCTTGCCTCGTAGCTCCTAATGATTTTATTTCATTTGCGCATTTTTTTTTCATTTGCATAGGTAGCACAACAAAACGTAAATCTGCTGAAATAAAGTTGCGTTTTTACCACGAAATTGCAATATTTTCACATCCTTTTGTCAATAAATTCCGATTTTTACCGATAAATTCTGTGTGTCAGAAAGATAGGCAATTCACAACACAAAGCAAAACTGAAACTTATTTGAATTTTATTGCAATAACCTAAAATCTGAAAGCTCCTTCAAATAATAGATACGCAACAAACAACAGTTGAGGGGCTTGGAGGACGAGGCGCATAAGTGCAAATTGAAAAAGGCGTCAGTGATGTCGGGTCAAACCAGCCTGAATGCATAATCTGCGAAAAAGTTGCTCCCGAATTCCAAAATTTAAGCATCAAAAAGTCAGTTTGAATTTTCCTTTCCGCCATAAGGATCCGTGTAACTTCGAAACTTTGAACACGTTTTCACGAAATAGCAAAAACTGCACTTATGCGCCTTGTCTTCCTAGCTCCTCAATTTTACCATGTTATCACAATGTATTACAACTTGTGCCGCTTGGACCGGTCTGCGTTCCAATGCATTGAAAGAAGTTTGAAGAGGAACGATGGTATAAAAACAACCCTGGCTTCCATTTTTATCCCCGGAAACTTGCAACACGGCGCTCCTTCCGAATCCCTTCATCCCTGCACTTCTCCGTTCCCTATCGAGTCGTGTGTTTACATCTCGTTACGGGTAAACGGACCTCGAATCAGAGCTCCGGGAGCTCCGAGTTTCGAGAGGAGCAGTTCATGTGGTTTTTGATAATCTCGTTACAATTAGTCGTCCCAGATTAGACGCTCCTCCGTCTCCATCTGACGTTGTATAACTTCATTCGGATTTTTTTCACAGGTGTTGTAACTCGTCGGCCGGAGTTACGGCTCAGCTCTGTTGGTTTTCGTCGATATTTGCCTTGTTAATTTTATTTTTTCGAATGCTTTTGTCCACTCCCGTGGATTTCGGCGCCGCACGGTGGATCGAGTCAATTGGAGAGGTCTGACATGAAATTTTTAACTGAAACTGCAAATTTTGATGTTTAATTCTTCACATATTAAATTTTAATGGGTGATATTAAAAGAAAATTTCATGAAAAAATCAATGGAACAGCTTTTAAAATCTCAAAGCTTTGAATGAACGAAGTTGTAAGCTTTTAAAGTTTCCAAATTTTGTCCGACCTATCCCAATGACCAAACCGCACAGCGGATCGAGTCAATCACGGAGGTCGGACATACAATTTTTGACTAAAACTGCAAATTTTGATGTTATTTCGTCACATTTTAAATTTTAAAGATAGCTTCTATTTGTGGAACAAAATTTCACGAAAAAACCAATGGTGCCACTTTTAGAACCTCAAAGATTTGTATGAACTGAGTTATAAACGTTTAAAGTTTCCATATTTTGCCCGACCTCTCCTATTGACTAGATTCACTGTGCGGTGTAATTGTATTTTGTTCCTCTTTATTCCTCTTTATTATTTTAGAGAGGGAGGAAGAGGAAGATAGTCAAATTTGCATTTAACCATTGGCCACGGGCACCAGGAAAATTTTATCGAGGATGAGGAGGAAAACCTTATATTTTTTTTTTTCGTCATTGGCTTATCCATGCTGAAAAGGCGATAAGGGTGAATCATCTCTTAGTGTTCCAAAGATAGCTTCAACGGGAGTGGAAAGGTCAGAAAAAAGAGAGAAAAATGGGTATGAACTTTGAACCATGCTCAAATTTTTGCGAAAAGACGGTTCTGCAACAATATACTAAGCATATCTAATTTTTACATATTTTAGAATTTGATCTTTCGAACAGTTTCAAGATAAATCGAAAAAGTTTGAAAAAAAAATATGGAAACTTGATCAACATCTACTTCAGGAAAATCATAAAATGTAGGTATTCACAAGGAGGCGTAGCACGTAGCATAGCTAGGGTTGAAGGAGGTTATAGAACTCCACACGGAGAAAAAAAACTTTGTACAGGGGACCCGAAGTTTAGGTCATAAATGGATCTCTGAAGTCTCCGGATTGAGCATCCGAACACTTAAGGTCCAGCTGCTGAGGTTCGGATCACACATCTGAAACTTCAGTTCTTACATCTGTGAAGTACTTCGGTTTTCACATTCGAAAAACTTCAATTCTCACATCCGAAAAACTTCGGTTCTCACATCTGAGGTACTTCAGATGTAAGAACTGAAGTTTCAGATGTGTGATCCGAACCTCGACAGCTAGACCTAAAGTGTTCAGATTCTCAATCCAAAAACTTCAGAGATCCATATGACCTAAACTTCGGGTCCCATGCACGAGGTTTTTTTCTCCGTGCAGACTTCGCTAATCGTGGATTTACCTAATGCATTTTTTGCGCTTGGATCTAATAAACAATGAAATGCCTACCTTTGTGCATTTGGCTCTCGTGCTTCCGGCATTTAGCTCTCCTATTTTGAAACCAAACCTGCAAAAATACACATGCGTCAAATCAAATAAAATTTCATCGCGACCCATTTACCAGAGGCATTAAGTTACGAACTCAAAGTCAGCACATTTCTTGAGCAAAAATTTTTCAAAATTGCCCTAAGGATGTTCTCTATACCGTTTCAAGAGGGGAATAAATACTCAATTAAGCTCATCTGGTTTTTTTTTCAATATAAAATTACTCTGAACTATCTAAATTGGAAGGAATTAAAAATATAGTCGGACGTAATTTTCCATCTTTTCCCCTCAGAAGTTGCGCAAATCAGCAAAATTCTGCACAGCAAAGGGTATGTCGACAAGATAGCTTGATTACATTGGTAAATCTGGCTTACATTAATACTATAAATATTATTTATCGATGGGGATTTTTTCTGATACATACTGATACCTTTTTTTACATCTATTAATGTATTATCTTACTTCGAATAACACGACCGATATTCTTCAATTGTTTTCATCCAATTCCGTCTTCCATTGGTCATTTCATTTTCATCGACTAACCATCCTCCGCTGTCATTCTGCAACTTTCTGTGAAACCGGTTGGACTGAGCATTCGATTTCACCAATCAAAGGATCGGTTTGACGAATCAAAAGTTCATTTGACAAAGAGATTTAAGTATTTTTTTGGTGCATTGCACGTTTCCACGCACAAACGACCTTCCTCCCGGTTTTTTGGACAAAACGTCACCTTCCGGCTGAAGTATTACATGCTCCATGCGACGTTTCAAAATTTCTACCGCCATTTGATTTATTCTTTTACAGAGAAATTATTCAACGAAACTGTTCGGAAATTTTAGTGAATTTTCTTTGTGCTGCCGATAAAATTCAGTGAAATTTTCAAACAGATTCAACCAACAATATCTGTGTAAACAAAAAAAATGGCGGTGGAAATTTTGAAACGTTGCATGGCGCTTGTGATTTTTCGGCCGGGAGGTAACGAAAAGATGGTGAGGAGGGGGGAGAGGGGAGTCAATTGATCCACGGGCTTTGGATCTGCGATAAATATCGATTCTTGTATTTTTCGGAAGAGTTCAAGGATGACTAGCGATCGCAAACAAGAAACTTACTTGAACCCTGGCTTCACTGAGACCGAGTCTTTGGCTGAGCTCCTCTCTCATGAAAGCGTCTGGATAGTGCGTTTCGTCAAAAAGTCGCTCAAGTTCATTCAGTTGTTCCAGAGTGAAATTTGTGCGACTTCTCCTTTGTTTGTTGCCTAATTTACTTCCGGGTGGTGGAGACAATGTTAGTTGCCTTTGATGATCGCTTAAGCAAATCGCTGAGGGCGATTTTGAAGACCTGCATTCGTCTGTAATCATAGAATAAAAAATGCTGAAATTGTTAAAATTCCTATGAATGTCTCTAGAGATGAACTGAAGGGAAAAAGTCAAAGAGACTTAATTTTATTGTATTGCAATGTTGCGAAATAACTGACATCTTATTTTTTCATTCATCAACAGGTGCAGGTGCATGTCTCGAATCGAAAATTTCAAGAGATCAAGTGAAAATCCGTCCATTGCCTTTAACGAGCAAACTTTTTTCTCCGATGAAAGTTGCCTGCTTTTCACTTAAAACAACTCAAATAATTCAAATGATAATAGAACCTCAGTGCTTGCTTTAAAAAGTGTTGATACAATTTTTCCTTGTAGTTTGAGTTCGCCTGAATTTCACTCGACACAATTATTTCGACTTACACGTAGCTTTGATTGCATAGTATAGAAATGAAGGAACTTTCAAGAGAGTATTTCTAAGGTAAAATATGGTTATTTTATGATTAAAATTAACCAACATAAAGAGCCAAGAAACTTGTAAAAGTTGGATGGGGCATTTTTAGGTAAAAAAGAATAAAAAGGATTTCCCAACTCGAATATTTCAAAAATTTATCGGAGTCTTTTATCTTTGAAAACGAGTTTTTTAATGTTTTTCAAACAGTTGATGCTATTTGGTCATTTGAGTAGAACGTCTTCCATACACCAGACCGTGGCGGAATATATTCCTATGTAACGCCGTGTAGCTATGCAATCACAAAGCACGCTCGTCGCCTAATGGACGAAATCCTCTTGGCGAGCGGCGAGCGATGATCGCGATCCCGACCGGTGATTTAGAAGACGCCTCGGGTGTTGAATCCCTCCTAATTTACCAATAAATATTTCCGCCTTTTAACAAAAATCAAAGGCTCTTTCCGCATCATTAACCCCGCGTTGGGAGTCGCGCCGGCCGGAGCGTTTCCACTGCACGGGAGTCAAGAGGGCAGTCGAGAGGTTAAAGAGAGCATTTAGCACTGTTGCCTTTTCCACATAAAATTGGGGCCTATTCGGCTTGTCACAAAATCGTATTTTTTTCTGTACATATCTCATACGATGAGAAAGAAAATAATGGGACACATCCAAACGCATAGTTTGAACATTGAAATACAGACTGAGCAAAATAAATGTCATGTATGGAACGAATGTTCAATTCGGTGAAAACTATCGGCTCTAATGAGTTTTTTTCGTTTTAAAACTTTCTCAGGATGAAAAAAAGATGAGACGATCCTAGTTTTGGGAGCGGGTGGGAAGGGGTTGTTACTACCAACATGCCTGATACAACTATATTAACGTCTGTGTCGCTCAAATTGCATACGCACTCAATTGAAGGAAAACTCATTTTTTCGCGTTCCACACGGATTATTTGTGCCTGTAAGCAGAGTTTGTTAGTCTCATAAGTGTTCGTGGGCATTTACTGGAAAAGAAACTATAGTTTGGAGGCACAAAATTATGATAAGATTAAAAGAATATCTTTTGAATCAGACTCTTACGAGGCATTCAATGATTTACCCTCACAAAAAATACCAAATACTGAAGAGAAAAATACATGCAGGTATCGCAAGTTTAAAAGTAGATCCTTACCTACCGTGAGGTTTGTCAAATGCATAGAGTCTTTTCTTTCGTGGTTTTTTTTTTTTTTTTTTTTTTTTTTTTTTTTTTTTTTTTTTTTTTTATGAAAAATATGCAATATTTCACAGCCTCGTGAAATTTCGTGATATATCTCACTGAAATTTCCAATCTTTCACTTCTTTCTTACGTTTCATGCCTCCCAGCCTGGGATCCCTTTTCTCTTGGAAGATCACCTACACTGAAAAAAAAAAGTAGCTTGGATCAAGCATGATAATTCTTGAATTTGCCGCCAAGAATTTTCTTTATCTTGCTTTAAGATGACTTTTTCTTGATTCAAGAAAAATAATGCTTGGGTTAAGCAAAAAAGTAACTTATATTAACCAGCAAAATTCTTGATTTGAGAAGAAATACTTCTTGGCGGCAAATTTAAGATTCTTTTTTTTCCAGTGACACCCGAACTTGTTTCAAGGTTCGACGAGTTGGCAACCCTGTCGGGATAAGGGAAGGAAATCGTGGTGTAAGTGGGAAAAGATTGAGCGACGAGCCAATGATAAACGAGCTGCCAAACCGCTTGGACTCGGCTATAACTTACGTGCAGCGTCTTTGTTAACACTATTACTGACCCCACTCCCCCCCCCCCCCCCCCCCNCGAACAACACCGGCGCCAAAGAGCGGTGGTCACTTGGTCAGCTACGGCTAATCTGCCCTCTGTAACACAACACATTCACCTACAGCAGTGCACTTTACGTTTTTCTTGTTATTCAGTCTTTTATGGTGATACATTCGGTTATGGTGGAACTCTTGCACCCACTGGAAAAAAACACACTGGATTGGAGAGTCCAGACTCTTAAAAACATTGACAAGAAAAAGTACTCTTGATTCAATCAGAATCTAGCTCAAATCAAGAACCAAGCTTCTTAATTTAAGCGGATTTCGTTTTGATTCAAGCAAAAATCCGATTGAATCAAAAGTATTTTTTCTGCCAATGTTTTCAAGAGTCTGGGCTCTAGATCCATTGTGTTTTTTTTTCCAGTGCCGAAAAAAAGTGAAGTTGATCTAATTCTGGATGTAAAAAAGTGTAGGAGAACTTAAAAAATGCTGAATTACCTACCCGCTATACAGCAGTTACTTTAGCAATGCCAAGATGTGAAATTAAGTGCTGTGGCGGTTATTTCGCCATTTTATAAGTTCTCGCACACTTTTTTTACATCCAGAATGTAAAATTAACTTCACTTTTTTTCGGTGTGTACGGTTAGCTCACAAATGTCAGCAAATTTGACTTTTAAGCTTAAAAAACGACGAAAAGCCATCACCGCATGAGTCTGACTTTCCTTTGGTATGAAAAATATTGCAAAATGATTATAAAATATGATGAAGAGCGTAATATTCAAATAAGTGAAGGATTTGACTACGAAGAAAGGATCATATAAACTGATTGCTGAATCAAACGTGGTACTTTTTTACAGTTAAATACAATTTTCTATACTTAAATGCTGTACTTTTTGTAAAACATTTTTTCGACTCATGTCTAGTGGCTATCGCGGTTAGTTTGGCTGGAAAGTCAAAATTTGTCAAGATGTTAGCTAAGATATTGAAGGAGAGAGGTCTCGGTGACCAGAAAAACACCAACTTCACATGGCTGGAAAAATCATGAAACGCAAGTTTCAAAATTCCTTTTAATCTAAACGCAAGTTTGCTGAAAACCCTGAGATAATGTGGGATTATGATGTATCTGTATGACGGTTGAGAAATTTAAGTATTGGTTGATTAAATAGTTTCATAGGCAGATTCTTTCTATCCCCTTCGACAAGAAAAATACTCAAAATACAAATTATTTTCGTTTTTGGCACTTAGAATCAATAGGGACGTACTACACGAAAACTGTGAGGAAAAGTCATAATTTGAATGTTAATATTCTAAACTTGGATCAATTCGGGGCTTGACGCGTCTGAATAAAACCAGTTTTTCTTCAAACTATGCTGGGTAAGCGTAATCTAGTCAAGAAGCATGAGCATTAATTTAAACATTGCACCATTGATTTTTACTTACACATCATTCGTTGCGCAAACTGAGGAGACATAATTTGAATGAAAGTACAAACGAATTCTCAATTATAACCTTCTTAACACCAGGCCAGTTGGAAGTGAGAGAAAAAACTAATTTATATATACTGAGTCACAATTACTCCAGGTTTTTAGATATTTTATTAGTTTCTTTCAAAAATAAAATCGCCCAGTAATGATTTTTCACACTTTTGGTGAAATGTATCTTACGAAGTGTTAAAAATGTACAGAAAATATCAAGCATAAATTCTTGTTGATCATGAGCAGAAATAGGTGCCGGGGGGCCTACTTCCCCCCCCCCTCCCACCAAAAATTCTAGTTCCTAATAATAGAATGCAGTTCAAATGCAGCCAGGATGTGTCCACTTAAATTTGTCCAAATATCTTTACCAAAGTTCATCCGATACTTTATTCATCAGGTAAAGTTTATTTTTTTTTTTTTTCTCTATAAAATTTGACTTTTTCCACATGCCTAGTCTCAACATCGACTGATATCGACTGATTCCAATACAACGATACGATCATGCGGTATAAGAAGCTGCTTCTCATGCGGTGGAGTCCGCCGTGCCTTCACTTCAATTTTCTTTATTCGATTTGGCGCAACATAATTTTCCCCGACCGTAAACGGGAGAAAGAATTACACCCGACGCCTTCAGATGGGCCAGAGAAAAAAAGGTGCGAGATTGGGCTTCGAGAGTGAACAATAAATTCGGTCTCGGCAAATTTATTCGCGTTAGCGGCTATGATAAAACATAAATTCTCCAGGCGGACGGAGGAAATATATGGGTGCAGAATCGCAAGCGTGCCACATGTAATTGAACAGTTGAGCACTTGAGTGCGCCTGCAACTTTGGCATCGGCAACAAGCCAGCCAATCCGTAGGGACGGACCAACATGCATCTTCCCTAGGTTTCTTACTTTTGCTTCGCTTTTCGTGTATTTGGCGAAATGGGAACCATCTTTAAGAGCTAATGGTTCATTCCTCTGATCGTCGTCCCCAGAATTTATCGTTTTTATGGGCCGCTAGACAAGGTCTCACTTAAAAAAAAAAAAGTGTTATGATTCCTCCTCAAAGTCTTACGGGGAAACCTGCATTAATTCGACGAGGAGTTCGAAACAACTTCTGAAAGATGCACTAAAAAGTATTCTAAACACTTATTAAATGAAAGTTATGATTGCACAAAAGACGGCATTCATATGTTTACCATTTAACCGATGTAAATTGCAAACGTTTACGTATCTTGTTTAACAGTTGATTACAGAGACATACAGTTGTGTTCATGCTTTGTATAGCGGCTCATTTCGCCATGCTACGTAAGGCAGCAGTAAGTGCGAGATTTTGTGGTCTTTTTAGTTCTTTAAGTCTTATGGG